CGCCTTCCTCAGAAGGAAGGGGGCATCTGGTCCCCTCTGAAGTCTCCTTCTTCTCAAGAACTTCGGGGACTTGGAAGAGACTCACCTTGGCAAGATCCGGGCTGGACCTTGTGAGGCCACAGGAAGGAAGATGGAGTTCCTGGAAGACAGGCCCAAATCTCCCCAACACAGGTCACTCCTGCCTCCCCACCACCAGGCCCAGGAAGGCAGTCTGGCAGCAGGTGTGTCATGCAGGGGCGGGTTCACAAGATCGGGGTTCAAATCCTGCCTTGGCTACTTACCAGAAGCAAATCTGTTAGTTTCTCTGTGTCCTCCCATCCTCCGGGATTTGTCGGCATCCTCTAATTTATCTGGGGGATTTTGTTCTGTCACGGGAGGAGGAGGGGGACTTTCTGTTGGGAGTGGCTCCCAGGAGAGATAGAGTAGTGAGGAAACGGCGCCCCCCTCTCTGGCCCCTTGGCCTGGATTTGAGGTCCGGGTTTAGAGGCTGCAGGCACCAGCGGTGCAAGCTGTTTGCAGAGAGGCCTTGGGAGACTCATGGCCCTGCAGTTGAGCTTTGAGGCCCCGCGGCCCCAGGGCCCCCGTATTGGGGGAGATGCTAATCCCTTGCCTCTGGCAGCCCCGGCCTGGGGCTATGGGAGAATCAGGGGTCGCCCTCGGCCTGGACATTACCTTCCCCGCCAGGGCCACAACTAGGGAGGCACAGCAGGGCGCGGGGCGCTCCTTCAAGTGCCCTCTTGGCCTTTGGCAGTTCACAGAGCAGGAGCAGAGAGCATGCCAGTGGTGGCTGCAGATGGCAGGCTGGTCTGGGAGCAATGCGGTGTCCCTTGAAGGGATTCATTCTCAGAAACCCTTGTAGGTGGAGTAGCGAGGTAGCTTTTCAAGGGGTTCGGCTGGAGGAGCTCATGGGGCAGGAGAAGTGTTCCCACGATGATGTGGTCTTCTGAATCTGTGCGCTGGCGGGCCTGGCAACCTCTGTGCCAGCGACCCACAGGGATCTTATGAGGAAGAAATGGGATCGTATGTATCTGAGGGCCTAGCACAGCACCTAGCCAGAGGGAAGGCCCTCAAATATTTGTTTTATTGCGACAACAAAGAGGTTCTGGTCCCTTGATTCATCCAGAGGAGGAATTCATCCACAACAAGGCAGAGCTGGGGGTAGGAGGTACGTAAGAGAACTTTTCCTCAAAGAGCTGAAGACCCAGCTGGAGGCTCGGCTCACTTCCTGTGTGGCCTTGGGTAAGTCACATAACCTCTCTGGGCCTGCCTCAGTTTGCTCCTCTATGACATGAGGGAGTTGGTTTAGCTCACGTCCGCGGGCTCCTCTGGCTCTGTCATTGAATGGGCGTTCGCTTCATCTGCGGGGAAAGGGCCACTGGGCCCGGCTGCCCTTGCCCAGGCCTCTCTGGTTTCTCTGCAGGTGCTGTGGGCTCTTGGGCCTGAAGTCCAGGAACAGCCAAGAGCTGTCCCTCCACACACTTGCTGCCTTGTCAGCGTCCCCCGAGACATGGGAAATTGAGGATCGCAGTGGCAGATCTTAAATCAAAGCCTGGGCCATCAATCTCCCAGAACAGACTGAAATAACAAGGTGGGTGGCACAGACCGCCACTGCATGGACAGTCGGAAGATATTAAAAAGTCAGCATCTCGAACCCCCAAGTCCCTTAACACATTTCCGAATACCCCAGGGACCTGCCTGCTGAGGGGAAAAGGGAATATCTCATTTTAGAGTTCCTCAGGAGGGCCCGAGGGCTCTATTTCAGGAAACCCCTCATCTGGGGGCTTCTGAAGGCCCCCTACCTGCTGTTGTCTGCCTGGCCTGCCTGACCGTCAGCTCCTCCCGTGCAGGCGCCCCCACCAGAGCGTGGCCCTCGTGTAGACTGGAATGGTTGGGACACCATTGCTCACTGGCTCTACAAAGCTGGGTAAGTTGCTTAACCCCTTTGGCTCTTAGTTTCCCCATCTGTAAAATGGGAATGACAATAGCTACTTCATAGGGTTGTTCTGAGGGTTAAATGTAATAATCCACACAAAGCAAACAGCACAGTGCCTGGCACATGGCGAGACCTCAAACATTAGCCATTAATATTACTCTCCCTACTATCCCACAAACGAGCCCAGATAGCTGCTGTTTTCTCTCACAGGTTCTCCTGCTCTTTTTCCTATTTAAACCCTACCCACCCCTCAAACCTCAGTTCGACTCCCTCCTCCTCCAGGAAGCCCTCCCTGAATGATCCTCCAAGGGCACATCTTCCTCTGACTTCCAAGGTTACATTTTTTTGCATTCAATTATATTTGCAGCAACTTTTCTTTGCCGCTTCATCGTGTGGTATCCAAGCTCCTTGATTACAAGGCCTTTGCTTCTGTTTTCTCCCCCTCTCTTTCCCCTACGGCACCTGCCACAGTGCAGTGCACATCTTAGGTGCTGAAGAAACACCCGTGCTTGTCATGTGGGAGATGCCAGGAAACTGAAAACAGAATCCTGGTATTTCTGAGACTGGGTCTTCTGTCTATTTTTAGTTTAAATCTTCTTCAAAAAAATTCCAAATTCCACTCTGTCTTTACATTACAACCACACCAATCTTTTCATGTCAGCCAGATGTACTTTTCCCTCCTCTCCACCCGAAATACACCGGAATTTGAAAAATGAGGCGCTGGATCTGAGAGTGCGAGCAAGAGAAAGCTCTCTCTAAACCCCGACTATTCTTGTCAGGCTGAAAACTTGGGGAGGGATTAGTTCTGGGTGAAAGAGAAGGTTCCGATGGCTCAGCCCGGGGCTATTAGAGCTCAGGGTTTTCTATGGAGGGACAATTGGGATTTTGAGACACGAAGTCCCTGCTTCTGGAAGGTCAGCACTCTTGTTAGGCATCTCAGGACACGGCCACTCCTGGGGTGGGGGAGGTGGCAGGTGGGGAAACAGATCTGGTCACCCTGAAGTCAGGACTGAGGGCTGGCCCTGACATCCTGACTGCGGTGGGGCGGAAGGCAGGCAGTCCAGAGCACAGGTTGCCATGGCTGCAGCTGCAGAACGCACTGGAAGGTGATGTTAGCCACCCCAGCTTGATGGGATGGGGTAGGGGGACAGGGGTTAATAATTATGAATTTGCAGTTGTGGTCAAGATAAATGGCCATTCGGTCTAGTGGGACCCTTGGGGGCAGGGGCCTTTGTACCACCTGGTCCTGGGCGGAGAGAGAGACATTCTTGATGATCCAAGTCCTGAGTCCTCCAGAGAAGCATAGCTGTCATTCTTCTCCTGGTGAGTGTGTGACTGTTTGTTCCTGGCTACCGAGCAGTCGATAACAATAATAACATTGCACAATTGCTAAGCACTCAACCTGTGCCAGACACTGTGCTGAGCGCTTTACATACATTTGACCATCTGGTGATCGCAGCAGCCCCAGGACAAGGTGAGGACCTGCATCTCCATCTTCTGGGCGAGGAAACTGAGCCGCAGAGAGGCTGCGTCACTCACACAAAGTCACACGGCAGGCTCCTCTGACCCGGGAAGTTGCTGTGCTAACCCCTCTACTGCAGCGTGGGGCGGAGGCAGCCGCTGCCTTTCCGTGCCTAGGACAGGAGGCTCCCAGAATGCCTGGAGTTTTCAAGCCATCCACTGCTCCCTGCCCGCTGCCCAGGAGTGACAGAGAGGCTATAGTTCGGAAGGTAATCATTTGGTCAGAACAGAGGAGCATCGGAGGTTCAGCCAGCCAAACCACCTACCCATTCTCCAGATAAGGAAAGAGGCCCATGGGGTGGCCAACCTTGGTCATGGTCAGACATGCTGGCAAGGCTGGGATTCCCTGCTGTCCTCTCCAGCCCAGGGCCACGGATTCCAGGTTTTGCCTGTTTACCCTGCTTCCTCTGCACTCCACTCTGAGAGGTCGGGGGTCCGTTTGCCTTGTCACCAACCTATCCCTGGTGGCCATGCAGGCCTGGCCTGCGGGAGATGCTCAGTCAATATTTGTGCAGAGAATGAAGGACCAAGGTGCTCGGTTTGCCAGCTCTGGGGCTGGTCCTTCACATAGAAGGGCGGCAGTGGCTCTGGAGTTCCACCCAGGAGCCCAGAGGCAGTCTGGTGGGAAGTGGGTGGCCGGGGTGGAGGGTGGTCTGGAAGATAGTTGGCCTGCAAATCCACTCCTGTGCCCCACTAAGCCTGTCCTCCCTTACCCCGGACCCTGCTCGGGAGGGACATCTGGCGCAGGGGCAAATGACTCACTTCCACACTCAAGAGGTAAAGGGGCGAGGGAGGAGGATGGGCTAGGGGTGTGTGTTGGGGTATTGGCACTGAAAGGTGGTTGGCTCCGGTTCTGGGTTCTGGAGTCCCTCTGTCGCGCTGGCTGGGGAAGAGGTAGAGGACAGCTGGGCCAGGGGCCAGGCTGGGGCCCCAGCCGGCCTTCGGGGAGGGGGGCGCTCAGGAGAAAGGCTTCGGCGGGCGGCCCGGCGAGCTGCGTCCTCGGGGGCAGGGGGAGGGAGGCTACGGGAAGAAACGGGAAGGGGTGCCAGTGGCAGCCCCAGCCCTTGCCCGCCGGCCTCCCGGAGATGGGGTGGGCGTGGCCTGCCCGGGGCGGTGGGTGGGGGCTGGCTCGCGAGCGGCCTGCGGAGGGGGCGTCCGGGGCGGCGCGGGGGGCGGAGGGCGCGCGCTGGAGGGGTGGGGAAGAGAAGGGGCGGGCGGCTCGGGGGTGGAGCCGGGGCGCAGCGCCCGCCGCTCGCTCGGCGCTGAAACCGCTGCCGCCGCCGCCGCCGCCGCTGTCGGCTCGGGGACGCGGGCGGGCGCTCCGTGAGGCTCCGGCGCCTGCGGCTGCGGCGCTCTGGGTCCCGGCCCCTGGCCCCTGGCCCGGCGTCCCTCGGGTCCCGGCGCCCCGGCCCCGGTCCCGCGCCCTGCCCGGGACAACGCACTCTGCTGCTCGGGCCGCCCCGGGCTCGCGCCCCCGGGCCATGAAGAGGGGCCCGTGAGGGGCGCGCGGAGGCGGAGGAAGAGGAGGGAGGAGGGAGGCCGAGGAGGAGGGCGCGGGAGGCGGAGGATGCCGCCGCCGCTGCCGCCGCCGCCACCCGCGGGCCCCCGGCGAGCCTGACTCCAGACCGGAGGATGGAGCCGGCGCTGGGCGCTGCAGCGGCTCCCGGCGCGCCCCCGACCAGGTATTGGCGGGGCCCGGCGGGCCCCGGGGCGGGCGGGAACGGACACTCCGCCGCAGCAGCCGGGAGGGGCGCGGGCGCGGTGGGAGACGCCCCTCCGCCCGGGGACAGTCGCTACGGGCGGTGCGTGGAGGGGTGGCGGCGGCGAGGGACAGCAGCGTGTTGGGCGCAGGAAGGGGCTGCCTGGGCTGGTGGCCGGTGAGCGCCGCGATCTCCCCAGCCCTCCCTGCCCCCATTCGAGGAGGGCAGCAAACTTGAGACGCGCGGCGGCCCCCGAGGCACCCCGCTCCCCTCCGCTGCGGAGCGCGCCCGGGGGCTGCTGCGGGCTCACCGTCCCACAGCTTGCCCGTCTCGGGGCTGCTGAGGCGCCTTGAGACCCTGAGGTCCCCGCGCCCGCACCAACTTTCCAAACCGGGGCTCCAGCCGGAGGCGGGGGCCGCCCCTTGCTTCCTGCTCGCAGCCCTGGCCCAGCACCCGCATCCACCACGCTGCGATGAGCTGGGCCCCTGTGGGGCCCGAGCCGCCGGATGGTGCAGAGCCCCCCACGGGAAGCCAGAACAGCCCTCCCACTCTTCTCTGGGTAGGGTCCGGGCAGCAGCCCCTCCTAGGCTCCGGGGACCCGACGCTTGCTTTCACAGCAACAGCCCGGAGTAGCCCTAGCTGAGATTCTAGGAGTTAAAAGGCCAAGCTACTCGAGGAAGGTAGGACCCAAGGGTCATCCTAGGGTGGCACCTTGGCCTGACTTCACATGTGCCCCTTCCCCTGATCCCTGGCCTGCCCCTTCCCAGTATTAGGTTCTTCTGCTCTGTTCTGATTTCTTCCCGACGAACTTAAAAACTGCCCCTAGGCAGGAGGCTCCTAGGAAGGGCCACTCTTAGATCCAGGTGTCAGAGGATGGGCTTAGGCCATTGATAGAGAGCTAGAGGCTGGGGCAGGGGAGGTGGATGTCCAGTCAAGGACAGAAATTCAGCCCAGCATCTTCTGGAGGGCTGGCTGGTGGGAGCTGGGGGCAGACTCGGGGGCAGGAGGCGGCACCCTGGCAGACAAGCCAAAGGCACGTGAGAGGCGAGCAGGTGGGGGCTGAGGTCCCAGGCACCTCCCTTCAGAGGTGCCGCAGCCCCTTGAGGTGGGGCTAGGCTGTTTCAGGCAGACACCTTACCTGGGCAGGCAGTTCCCAGGCTCCTGTCCTCGGCAGCCAGGGACACTTACTGGCATCATGATGACCCTGTTTCTTTTTCAAAGTGCTTTCACCGTCATGACTCACACATTGGATTCACCAGGGAGGTATCAAGCTTCCAACCTAGTCCATTCTCCTCCCTCCTGGGTCTTTAGGGAGCTGCTGGGGAAAGGAGGAGTGGATTTGCCCTCGGGCCTCAGGCCCCTGCTGGAGCCCAGGAGCCCAGCCCTGCAGACTTTCATTTAGCCTCAGGCCACGTGGTGGGATGGGGAGGGGAGGGGTGCAGGTGAGAGGAAGTCTCTGCTAATTATCCCCCCAACTCTGCTGGGTCTTTGAAATCATGTCCAGCCACCCCCTGCCCCTTCACTTAACACCCCGCTGGCTTCCTCATCTCAAAGCAGTAGCACAATCCGCCCTAAAATCCAAATTTCCCTCTTTGCTGAGTAGTTGCAATGCTTTTGGCTGGAGGTTTCCTCCTTGGCATCCGAAGTCAAGCTCCTCTCACAGACAGCTTCCCTCTCCCTCTGCCTTGCGCAGGCCCCTATTAGTAGGAGGGGTGTAGATCCCCCTTACCCACCCTCCCTCCGCCCCCCTGCCTCCAGGGCCCCAGCTCCTGAGCAGGGTGGTGCTGATATAGGGGTGTGTGTCAGGCTGCATCAGAGAAGGGAGGAGGTGTACGTCTGTGCTCCACTGGGAGGGGTGGGAGGTGCCAGGCCCTCACCAGGGGGTCAGGTTCCTGCCCTCCTGGGTTTCCGCTTGCCACCCCCATGTCTCCTCCCTTGCCCACTGTGAGTCTGTCTCTACTTTCCCAACTCCACTCTGCATTGGTGCGGGGAGGGAGCATTTGATATTCATAATCTGGTTCAGAGAAGGTCCCGAAGCCCTGAGTCACTGTATGGTTTCCATGGAAACAGACTTGTTCAGAGGACTCGATGTAGCAGGCTGTGGTGGGGGAGAAGGAAACATAGTAAAATCAGGCTCCACAAGTGTGGCAGGAGTTGGACCAACTCCCTTCCGTGAGGAGGATGAGGGTGGGCAAGGCTCTAGTCTCCCTGTAGGAGGGGCTGCCTCTCGCCACCCACTGAGGTCCCCCTATTGGGAGGTGCTCAGCTACTCCTGTGGTGGCAGGCTGCTGCTGCTTGTGTGGACCTCTGGCTAGGTGGCAAGGCTCATGGCTACCTCTCAATGCCTCGGTTTCGTCCTCTGTAAAATGGGGAAAATAAGAAAACCCACCTGGTAGGGGTGTTGTGAAGGTCAAATGCATTATGACATGGAACACACTCAGAACAGGGCCATAGTAAGTGTTCGTAAGTGTCATTATTATTAAGTCAGGGGATTGGAAGAAACTCCCCCCAGCATGTTCGCCTGGAGCCTCCCCCGTGTCCCAGCAGGTGGTCCTGACATCTATTGGCTGGCCTGTCTCCTGCTTTGCAAAGAGCCTCCCCCAGCAGCCCTGGCACACCCCCTGCTGGGAACCAGCCATGCATTTCTTTCTACAGAGCATTCGTTTCAGGTTGCTGTGAGCCCACCACCGTGCTCTTGTTCCGACCCCACCTGTCTAGGAGCTTTGTGGGAGCAAATACTCCAGGTCCAGATGGACAGGCAGCTTCCTGCCTCAGCCCCCTGGGGGAGGGTTGGTCCTGGATCCCCTTGGAATTGGGGCAGAGGGAAAGGGACAGAAGAGGTCCAGGCAGAAATGGTGCCCTGTGTGACAGAGAGAAGGGGTTGGGTGGGGCAGGCCACCTCCCCTGAGCCTACAGAGGCTGGTTCATCTGGCTGGAGGAGCATCTCCCTCCTGATTGTCAGCCAGAGAGGGATAAGGGAACTCTCCAGAAAGCTAACAGACTCTGCCCTGCCCCTCCCCCCAAATTCGAGCCTCTATTGCTCAAGTGTTCCCCAGCATGCCCTGCGAGTCTGGACTGGCTAGGGGGCTCCAGCCTGAGCCCCAGCTGATCTGCTGTCATCCCACCTGCCAGGGCAGGGCAGGAGGCTGACCCCAGCAGTGCCAGCCTCGGCCGCATCGGGGAGCGCAGCCCGGGGAGATTCTGGGTGCCAGTGATGGCTCAGCCTGAGTCCCCCTCACCGGCCCTTCTCTCTCCTAGCAGGCCCCTCTCCGCGTCACACTCCCTCCCCGCCTACTGTAAGGTGGGCTTCAGCTCCAAGCTCCATAAAGTCCCTCCCATCACTGACAGCTGTCAGAGCTGCAAAGCATCCCTGTTATCTGCTGGCTCTTGCTTCTGTTTTACTGATGGAAAAACCGAGATTCCTGGGGTTTGCCCGTGTGGCCAGACCCAAGCTAGCTGTGGCCTGTCCCAGCTCCACATCAGCCCTGGGGATGCCCGTCCCTCTTCTCCGGCAATCCAGGCAGCCCCAGCTGCTGCCCAGTGTCCCCCCGACACCCCCTGCCAGCTCTCAGGTTCCTGCCAAGGTTCTTCCCCTCCTAGGTCTCTCTGGACTGCTTTGCTGTCCTCATTGGTGTTCACAACACCTTCCAATTTAATATCCTCTGCAAATTTCATTAACGGACTGTTTACTCCCTCTCTCAGGATCATTAATGAAGATGTTAGATAAGATCTGACCCAGCGCTGGGTCCTGGCAGCCCCGCCCCCACTCTCAGACTTGCTGCCCTCTGGCCCCTTCCCCCAGGCTTGCCTCCGCCACCCGGCACCCTTGGGACCTGCCCCCTCCTGCTATTAGGCCCCATGACAAGTGCTTAGGGCCAAGTCTGTTTGAATTAATTTTGTAAGATTACTCGAGGCGCTGTATCAAATGCTTTGCTAAAAATCAAGATATATTACCCTGCCTGCGTTTCCTTCATCTACCAGTCTTGTAATTCTATCAAGAAAGCTATCAAGTTTGTCAGGCATGATTTGTTCTTTATAAATCCCCACGGTGCCGCGTGGGGCACAGGGTTCCCGCGTTTTCTAAATGTTTAGAGATTCCTTCTTTGTGTTTGCTCCTTGATTAGAGCTGGAAGGCTGTGGGCTGGAGGTTGCTGGGAATGCCGTCTCCTTCTGAGGGATGGGGAGAAGGCACGGCTCCTTCCCTTCCCCAGAGTCTCTGCCGGTGTCAGTGAGTTGTTTAGGACCCACTGAGTCCCTGCAGTGTGCTGAGGGCCCCAGACTGGGCACTGGGGGAGGAGGGATAGGGGAGAGCTGCAGGGAGGGCCTGAGGTGTCAAGGATTCTGCAGGGCAGATGAGGACCACGGACAGCCGAGCCCGGTGCCGACGTTCTGAAGGTGCCATTGATGGGGAGATGACTGCGCACCAGTCACTCTGCTAAGAGATTTATGTGCACCGTCTCATTTAAGCCCCTCACCTGCCCTGGGACTCAAGGTCTGGGTTTCACCCGTCGTTACGCCGCTCCTGACCTTTTAAGGTGTACCTAAAGGTGAGGAGAGCTGACGGGGTGGCTCAGACATTTTAGGAGGTCCGAGTGGGGCGGGAAGGGAAGCCGTCAGGGAATGCTCTGGAGAGGCGAGGCCCTCACTTGCATATACACCTCCCACGTGACCCCCAGAGGCTGAATTCGGTTCTCCATCCTGCCACTTCTGAGCTGATGAGCAAGTCCTTCCACCTCTCCGAGCCTCGGTCCCTCCCCTGTGAAGTGGACTCAGCTGTAGTCCTTCCTCCCAGGCTTGTGGACAGGATCAAGCGAGGTGATGCGTGAAAGGTTCGAGCCATGGAGCTGGGTGGGCTCTGGGTGAGCAGCTGCTGTCATGCCTCACCGTATAGGCCCCTGTCAATGCTGGGCGGAGACGCTTCTCTGGTTGGCCGTGTGCCCCATGGGTGGAGTGTGGCTCTTCCTAGTGCGTCTCTCCCAGGA